TTTATAAAAATACTAATAATAAAAATAATAAAATAAAATAATAAGATAAAATAATTGAAACTCATTTTATAACAATAGTAATCATATATAGCATATTATTTTAAAAGATAAATAAATAAATAATCTTTTTGCTTATTTGAACTCTGTTTGTTTTTGTTTATAACTTTAACTAATTAAATATGAGTTTTTTAAATTTATAAATTTAATACATAAGGTGACAAAGTCATGCCAGAAAAAATTCATAATCAGGTAATTTCTGATACTTCTGATCCTCCAAATTGTGACATTATATATTTATATTACCTTTACAAGATCAGATATTAACTGCATATATATTATATTTCAATAAATATATATGTGAAGCAAACTTAGAATATTTATATGTAATTAATAATAGTAAAATTAATAAATCAATAATTAACAAATATTAATACAAAATATATTTAATTAGTAAATATTAGATTGGTTCAAATTTTATAAGATAAACTTATATAATTTGAACTAATTTAACATTTATTAATTAAATATATTTTTGTATTCTCTACTGTTTTATTAATCTATAAATTTGAGTTAATTTAACTATATATATTTACACGTTCACTATTAATTTATTAATTTCGCTATTTAACAGTGGAATTAATAATATTAATTATATATAAATATTCAAAGTTTCACTTTACATATATCGCTATCTAGAAGATCGAAAGCATTGGAAATCACTCTAATTTATTACTATAATACTATTACAGGTAAAATTAAAGCATGTGAGAATTAGAAAAGAAGGAATACAGTATATGATGATCAAAGACTAATATAGTTAATGACAATAGAATACATGGAATAAAGAACCAAGTAAATATAATAAATATAAGAATCAGATACGACGAAACTATGTCTACAAGCTCTTGAATAAAAAGTTACGCAACTCACCTAACTCACTCTGAGTTTGAGAAGATACATTATTCTATTATTCTTCACTTGTATTTCTTTACTTACATTTCTTTATTTACATTCTTTACTCAAGCTTACTTTAGCAAGCAGGAATGAACTAATAATATCTAGCAAATGATAAAACTTTTGTTAGTAACGAATGACGAAACTATTTCATCAGACAACTTCAAGTTGATGAAATAAAGAAAGATGAAACTAATGACAAATGATGAAACTCATAACGAATAATAAATTTTATATATAATATAAGAATTTGGGTATAATGAATTCAAATATGATTTATAATGATAATGGTGTCCTAGATATATCCGATAAGTCTGATGAAGGAAACTACTAACAATAAAAAGAATTATTAGCTTTGGATTCAATGTAATGTAAAGCTAAAATTAAATTTTGTATGAGCTTATTAATTTTGTAGAGATAACTTTTTATAATAAACTAACTATTAATAGAACAATAGAAAAGTTCGTTGTCAATTAAAAAATTATTTTTTTTTATATAAACTAATGAATCTTTATAATGATAAAATAACAGTAATTTGGAAAAAATATATGATTCATGGCCAAAATAGTTTTGTTAAGTATCATAAGAATGAACTTACCAGCTACAATAATCCTATAGTAACTACTAGAACAATTACTAACTTTAGAAAGAAAACCACTAGCTATGATTGCTTTTCACGGGATATTATTATCATGCTGGCTATTAATCATTTTTCTTATGCTTCTGACAATGTGGTATGCGATATCATAGGATTTATAAATCTAATTAAAGTTACTATGATAAATTTGTATATACTGATATGGATTTTTTGCTGATTATCATTTAAATGATAACTTCAAATCTTTAAAACTTTTGAACCAGTGAGTCTATAAAAATAAAATTATAATTTTCGGATTCCAATAAGATACTCTATAACAATTTAGTGTTATTTTTTAAATATCACTTATTTTTTTCTCAAATTTAGTAGTTAATTATAATAAAGTTAAAAAAAATGGCTCTAAATTGTTATAGAGCATCTTACGAGAAATTCAACAATTATAATTTTATTTTTGTAGACTTACTGGTTAAGAAATTTTAGAGATTTGAAGTTACTATAATTTATATAGTAATTTCAACTTCTGAACTAGTGAGTCTACAAAAATAATTTTTGGATTTTTGGATTCTTCGTAAAATGCTCTATAACAATTTAGAGTCATTTTTTAAACTTTATTATAATAACTACTAAAATAAAGAAAAAAATAAGTGATATTTAAAAAATGACTCTAAATTTTTATAGAGCATCTTATGAGGAATCTAAAAATTATAATTTTATTTTTATAGACTCACTGGTTTAAAAGTTTTAGAGATTTGAAGTTATCATCTAAATGATAATCAGCAAAAATCCGTATATGTATACAGATTTATCATAGTAACTGCACACCCCATTCTGACAACTTTCAATAAAAATCACTAGTATAGTCTATATAAATACAAAATATAAATTTTTTTTATTATATATAACATGTTTTAGTATTCAAGTAGGTTTCAAAGTATAACTAACTAGTTTAATCAAGATAACTTCTTTAGTATATAGAATATTTGTTTAACAATCTTTTTTAATTTACTGCAAATAAATATTTAATAATAAAAAAATAAAATCTAACCTGTTATTTAATAACAGGTCTAATATCTAGATTTTATATAAAAATTCTATGATCTAACTTACATCATTCTTCATAAGTTAAATCAAAATTAAACTCATCTAAATTAGACCCATTAAAAGAAATAAGTAAAAGATAATTAAGTGTTAAAATTTTCATTTGATTACGAAGTTTTGTCTTAATCAAATTTTGTTGAGAAAAAATTCGTTTTACAAGAGCATTAGATAAAGGAAGTATAAATAAAATAGAAAGTAATTTTCCAGTTTGTGGATAAATACTATTAAAATCTGAAAAATCATGATAAATATTTTGCTATGCTTCTAAAAATTAAAGATTGTGATAATTTTTTAGAAGAATTTTAATATAAGTCTATTCATGAATAAGCTCATCAGCAATAATAATTGCTTGAAAATTTTTATCTAAAACAAATTTGTTTGAACTATAAAAATCACTTAATATAGTAATTTGGTTTAACCCATATTCATTAAATGATCTTTGATTCTCAACAGGAAGATTTCTTGGATCAAAAATTTTAAATGAATCTATTAGTTCATGATTTAGAAATTGTTTTTTAAGAGATTCAACTATTGCTTGTGCAAATTCACTAATAAAACTTAGAAGTTAATCTGAAGTAATATAATTATCATTCATATAGCTACACAAATATGTACTCCATGTTGGCTTATTATTATCACTTCCAATAAATGCGATATCAATAGCTTGAATTGTAATATCTAATTGAGTTTTGACTTCATGAATCATAATATTATTTTTTTGAAATAATAGATTTAGTTGACATAATATTCCTAATATATCTGCAAAAAACTTTGTTTTGATAACAAAATTGTCATTAATTTTTTCATATAATGCAGCAGCAATTATGCTACAAGTGCTATAAAAAGTAATGGATCAATAATAGAATTAAATATTTGGTGTAAATTATTAACTACATTTGACAAAGAAAGCTAACGTAAGTTAATAATAATAAGAACTGTAAGTTGTAGATCTTCAGTTTGTTCCTCTATTATTTTTAATTGTAATATTCATTCTGGGCTTCTAGAAAAATATTTATAAATATCATGTACTAGAGTTTCATATTGGTGAAATTCAGATATATTATTGGCAGCATTTTTAGCTACTAAAGCTAAACAATATGAAATACAATGATGTTGTAAGATAAAAGGATTTTTAGTCTTTATTTGAGTAGCAATGCCTTTATGAATTCCTATAAATTATATATTAAAGTTAAATTTTATTCAATTAATATACCAATATATATACTGTATTATAATATAAAAATTAAATATACCAATCATTGTACTTGCTCCATCTGTACAAATATGATATAAATTATTATAAAGAATATTTTTTGCTTGAATAAAACGATTGAGATCTGCTATTATAGTATCAGACATTTGTTCAGTAAGAGAAATCATACCAAGAAATTGATAAATAGGTTTTCCAGGTCTAAGTAAATGTTTAGAAACTATAGCTAATATTTTTTCAGTAGATATAGTAGTGCTTTCATCTAACATTATACTCCAACTTTTAGATTTATACAATTCTTCAAAAGTTGATTGTTCAATTACATGTCCAATTGATTCAATAAACCCATAAGCTGCTTTATTATTTGTATAGCTAGCATATGGTGCCTGTAAATTATCAATATTTAGAAACTGGTTATTCGTAAAAGATAATATACTAGATCTAATACTAAATTCATCTTGAGTACTATTATACTGAATTTTTATTAGTTTGCATAAATCCTCATATACTCTTATTGCTAAATTATGTTTGATTAAAAAATATACATTTCGCATATTTTGTATAATTCATTGTTTATCTATTCTAGCTTGAATTACAAAAGAAAGCTGAATATCTGCTTAAGCTTCTGTTGATTGAGCTACAATAATAGACTGATGATCTTTGTTATTAATATGTCGAGTTAAAGATTGTAATTTAAAATATACACAACCAGAGGTAAAACTATTTTGCTTGTTTGCTTCTTGACACCAATGACAGAACATAAGATTTGCTTGAGTACCCTCTTCACGATATAACTATAGAAATTTTTTTGGCTAGCTTGGATCCTATTTTAAAGATTCTTTAGCCAAACATGTTACTTTAAGATTGTGAAGATTATTATTATTATTAGATGAAAGATCTGAAGTTTCTAATTCTTCACTTGAATAATCTTCAGAACTACTATTTACTATTTGTCATTTATTTTTTTCTTTGGCAGCAATGCTAAAGGGAGTAATAAGTGGTGTTTTTTTTTAGTTATTTTTTTTTAGACATTGTATTTATAGTATTTTAGAATTATAATATTAGTATGAAAAAGATTTTGATAAGTTTAATCACCTCCTAATACTACAAAATATTAATATCTTTAGCTTTTTTATATAATTATTATCTTCGCTCTAATTAGTCTAAATTAGATAAGCATATAGATATAATTTAAACAAATAATTATTGTTTAAAACTTTATTTCTTTTTAATTTTATATTCATAACAATAAAAAATATTTCGTTTAAAACATTAATTTTTGATTAATGTATGAGAAGTTTAATTTAATTAGTATGAAATATGTATTGATATATTTAGAAAAATAAATAATTCAAACCTGTATATATTATAATTATATATATATATATCTATATTAGATATATTAATATATATATTATGTATAGTATATACAAGAAATCTAAAACTTTAATTACCTTATATAGAAGAAATATTAACTATTAAAGATAAGTTAATTCAGTCATTGCTTATTTTAAGTTTCAGTAATATGTATAATGATAAAATAATTGCAATTAAATACATTTGGCATATTATTTTTATACCAAAAGATTGAGAATTTTAGATTCTTTGCTTTATTAGAATTAGTAATTTATTTCTGTACTATTAGTTTATGCATTATATATAGAAATATTGAAGTTTTTAAAATTTCTGCACACTAATATATGTATATATATATACATACTTATATACTTATATATATATATCTTTGTATTCTCTTTAAAAACCTTAATAAAACTTATATAATAATGTATGATATTAAAATAAATTAGTTTCAAACATCATATAGAAATTAAAATAAGTTTAAAAGATGTAACATGAATTAGTTTTTTAAAAAAAACAAATCTGATATATTAATATAGTCAATGTGCTAGTAGTAAAATTCTCTAATATTAATTAGTTAAAATTAGTATATTTGATATAAAGTTGTTATAATCATAATAAATATAATAACTTTAAAAAAAATAATAATATATTAAATTTGAAATAACAAATAGTATAAATTTTTAAAATACTATTTATATTAAATATAATAAATAATTCATGTAATTATATAACAATTTAATAGTGTGACTAAAAAATTAAATTATTTTTTACTATATTACAAGTTTTAATTTTAACTATACTTATTAATATAATCTAATAAAAAAATAATTATAAACAACTCTTACTGTAGATCATCTGTACCAAAACTCCCAAAAAACATTTTGTCATAACTAAATATTTTATTAAGTAAACAACCTTTAGGCT